TATTAAAATTTATAAACCAGTTTAATTTTAATATATATATATATATATATATAATTCATTTTTGTGGTCAGTAAATTACCATAAAAACGTTATACATTCAATATGATTCTTAAACATTTTAACAAATATTCTGATTTCGAAAAAAATTTCTAAATGGGTTGTAATATAAAAGTGTGTATGTATAGTCTACTAATAATCTATTCACTGTCTTTTTAGACATTGTATTTCAAAGGGATCGAGGCAGGCAAGTTTCCGTACTTCCCTGAGGCCGACACAGTAATCTATGCCATCTCCACTGCCATCTGTTTTCAAGCGGTACGTTTAAAATGTTTTTAAAATCTACCTAACTAAAAGCACCTTCTGCATAACCAAGGACACTTTTACACCAAGGGAAAATACAAAGCACATTAAAATGCAGAAGCTGTTTGTGCCAGTGTGACTTATTGATGGCTCAGTCATGAACTGAATGATAATTTTTAAATGAACGAAAGACAGCACTTTTAAGTGCACTTTAAAAGCCAAACAAAATAAGTTTGTCAGGTTTTAAATTATAAGGAATAGTTTTGCTGTGTGAACATGATAGAAACATGCCCATAGTTAAATGTTTTTGGTTAACATGTCCTGGGTGGATCTTATCAGGCGGTTATGGAAGTGCAAAATCTGAGACCATCATACTGGAAGTTTCTACTGCGGTTGACGAAGGGCAGGTGTGTATTAGTGGAAATTATTATTAACAAGTCTTATATGCACATGAATTCTTGAACACGTCAAGTTATGGATTTCTCTGTCCAGGTTTGCCCTAATGAACAGAAAAGTGCTCGATGTTTTTGGGACAGAGGCTTCCAAACACTTCGGTGACTTCACGCCTAAACTTGACCCCAGATACGTGCTGTGTCCCATTGACATGGACGTGTAGCTGGGCTGACAGGCCCGTGGGTATCTGCGAGATGTTTTCCCATAGACCAACAATGACACGAAGGCACGGAAAGCTCTTGCACACGATCTCTCTCTCTTACATTCTCTTGCCCTGGCGCTCTATGTCATTAAATGTGAAGTGAAAGTGTGAAGCCAGTTATATGTTTACGTTGATGTGGATCTGAAACATTTTGCAATGTAATTACCGCTGGCAAGATGTGACCTCTGTGTTTCATAGTCTGCAGCATTAACTAATCGGCTTTGAGACTATAAAATGCGTTTGTAATTTTTCTGTTTTTAAATCCAGGTAGGAAAGTACAGAGACATTTGTTTACAGCACAGTTGGCCACCTCAGAAGGTGATGATGGATTATTTTTGGTCATTGTCATTTCAAATCCTACCAAAAACGATCAAATCAGTAATTAACTGTCTGCCATAGTCAGGATATGCGGGTTAAGCCATGTAAAAAGACCTTGTTGACATCAGGGTTGTGTATGATCTCTTCTGTCTTTAGTGTACAAATAGGAATATATTGAGACCTTCTCAAGTACAGGTTTTATGGAAAGTTATTAGTACAGAACTTAACATTTATTACCCACCTGTTATTGCAGATTTAATAGTCACGGATATTGTTTCAGGAGAGAAAAGCAGATTAAAACTCATCCTAATAGACTTTCACCTTAACTTTCAGTAGCAGAGCTTTTTTTTAAATTAGCAATAACATTATAGAGTAAAATCTGACAATATAATCGAAGTATTGCTGTGTATTTGAAATGTAATTTATGTAAAAAGAAAGCCTTATGTCTTCGATGTTTGTATAAAAGCAAAAGCTTTATATTAAACCAATTCTGACGAAATTAGCTTCTAAGAGTGTTTTATTTAATTACATCTCGTATTATAACTTAATTGTAACCATTATTAAAAATATATTATTATTATATGTCTTTTTTCTTTCTTTCTAAGCGACACGTTGTGGTGAGCTTAGCGACTTGATAAAGAATTGACACGACTATTAGTTCCGCAAGGGAAAGATGCCTCGCGTCCTTGTGCATGCGGAGCAAGTATTTCAAGCAGGGATTCTCATCCCCTATGTGTTGTATGCCTGGGGGTGAGACAAGCTCAAGCAGCACTCGCGAACCCCGAGTGCTGTCCGCACTGTTCACTTCTCCCGTCAAGGGTTCTGGAGAGAAGAGTGCGGCCCGCGTGGCGGCTGCTAATAAAGGAGACCCCTCCCTTTCTCCGTCGACCAAACAGCCGCCTGTGTCATGCAGTTGGGGTGAGTTTATGGATGAAGTCTCCCCCGAACTTCCCCCTCTTTAACCGATCTTGTCAGAGGGAATATAATTATTATTATTTCTTCTAACTAAATTTTTTATAACGGCATTTTCTTGTACAAAATTTTGATGTCCCTCCTAAATTTTGGTTTGAATTGATAGTTTGACAGATGCACTCACTTTAGATGAGTGATACATTGCAAAAATAACTGATTCGTGTAAACGTCCACTGGAGGGCGATGTTATACTGCGTTTAAATCGCAGGTCATCTATGGAGCCAGAATGATCTCAATAATAATTCACGCAAAAGACGCGATGCACACATGCGTAACACAATTCACATGCATGAAAAATAATTCACATGCACAAAAAATATATATATATTCACAAAAACCAATGCACATGCACAAAATAAGAATATATATTCATAAAATACGTTTCACAAATGCAAAACACAATTCACAGATGTACAAATGTGTACAACATTTTTGAATGTTAAAAATTCACGAGTTTATCATGGGCTGTGAATGTGAATCGCCTTGGATTTGTGTGTGAATTTTGAGACCTTTCTGGCAGCGAACTC